CGGATCAAGTGAAACATCCGCTTCGCTACTGGTCAGTTCAATGATTTGACCAGTAGCGAAGTGGATGAAGCGGAGCAAGCGGATCAAATATGACCCGCGCCTTTACGCTGAGTTTGGCCAGCACCTAAAGTTACCATTCGAAAATGGCCCAACGTTGGATGTCAACTGCGATAATTGTGCTGAAGGCAAAGTCTTGACAAACAAAATCAACAATCGATAGTTCAGTACAAGACTGCGAACAAAGGAAACTAATCAAGATTTTGAATCTTTGAGAAAGAATACACATTTTCACTTGCAAACCTTTACAATTCATCGGAAAAGTAAAAAATGAAATCAAGATATAAACTCACAGCGATAAACCGACGCATATGAATAATGGACCCCAAAGGTCCCAGTCTCTTAGAAGTTGCTGCTTATCTGGTGTAGGAAAGATGACATGCCCAAATTTGAGGCCAACAGTGCGTAAATCACGTTTCTAAAAAACGAAAATGGTGGCGATGACGAATTGTATAAAAATCGATAACAGTAATATTCGTTCAAAATTCAGAGGCCTCATCATTCAAGCCATTGACAACATTACTATGAATCATAAAGAAAAAACTATTCAACATCCAAACTCTCAGAGAATGATTGGAATGGAAACGCAAAAGTGGCGATAGTATACGATTTACAATATGAAGAGATAATATAAGTAACTTACCACGGTGTCCCACACAGGTTCGTCGAGGGTATCAAGTTCATCATTTAATCCTACTTCTAGCATAGGCCTCGGTCTAGAGGGACCACCCATGCCGGCAATATTTCCAGAAAGCTCATCAGGTGGATTTCGATGAGCATGTTCTTTTGCGGCAATTTCTTGTTCCAACTGAATTGAAACAAATGAGTCGCTGACTTCGGGATTGAACATTCACAATTAAGAACGCACACGATGAACGGATGGAAGATCACTTACGATATCAATATCAACAGCCGCATTGCCGAATGAAGTCATTTTAGTGGTTTACCCTGAAAAT